ATATGCATATATATATATATATATATATATATATATATATATATGCATATATATATAAACAATTTTTCCTATTGTATTTTCAATTAGCGCATCGTTATCTATTAGATATTCATAACAATTTATTCTTACTCTAAATTATCATTGAAAAAAACGTAATATTATCTCGAAAATTAATTAAAATCTCGGTTAAAATTAAATCTGTCGAAATTGTGATTTTATAAGTCTTGTCTTTCAATATTTCTTCTTTATGTCTTTTAGGTTTAACACTCGATTAATCAACGTTCGATCAACTGTCCGCGAACTGGAAAATTGAGTAGAAACCTCCATTGAAAATCGCAGCGGTTCCGGACGTCATCGTTGCTTGCAATACGAAAGGACGCGAGCGGGATTTGCGCGTTGTCGGTGCACCTCGACGCATTCGGTTCCACGACCTCCTGCAACTCGATCTCTCCAGAGAAAGAGCTTCGAGATCTTATCGCGGGAAACGCAGCCGGTTCGACGTACCAGAAGAATAAAAAGTAAAAGGTAAGGGAAACGCCGTGATTCGCGACAGCTCGCTAAATTAACTCCTCGGGTCAATCTACTTTCTCGCCTGGGGCTTGTAGAACGTGAATTGCGGAATGATTGATATTTAGAAAATCACTGTTATCGAGGGAAAAAATTGGTTAATTCTCCCTCTAATATGTAGCGCAAAGTAGTCCTACCTACACGCATAATTGCGATTAAGTTTGCATTAGCGAGAACATCGAAGTGTTCGAATATCTTTGTCATAATTCTTCAATATCCTTCAATCTCCTTCTCTTTCTGATACTGAACATCATTCTAATTAAGCACTAAATTAAATATTTATTTAAGTAAAGCTTTCCTTAAAAAACAAAGAATATGCTTTATCTATTGACAGTTTTAAAGCTGAAGCCACAGGAAAAGCTTCTTTTTCTACAGTTTGTAACTCGTAAACTATTAGAGTTTTATATTTTCTTCAGAAAAATTGAATTTTATAAAGAACAATAATTACAGTCTGAAATGTAAAAATCCGCATCGAATATCTACATGTGATGTAGATATCTAAAGAATGTCAAATTATCGCAATATCGTTGCGATCCCGTTATTGCTGTGAAGAACACTCGCATTATCATCTGCTCAGGATTATTAGTGTAACGCAGACCACGAGAGCCCGTTTCGACCCCGTTCGTACACCGGTATTCTACATATATACATAGAATTATATCGTAAATAAGCTGGAAAAGAAATAGGATTTGCCCACGCGTAATAACCGATCGTTTAGTCGCGGTCGGGATTTTTCTGAAATCATCGAACGAACGAAAAGGGGAAGCACGAAAAGTCGAAGGTACAAGCAACGGCCAGGAGAATAAGAGCGGACCAGTCAGCAATCTGCGAATAGAATCTTGCAGCGTAACGACGGCGGCGGCTGCTGTTACTGCCGTTCGTCGCTGGTGGAGCGACGGCGGGCTTCGGTGGCTGTACAAGCTAAGTTGTAACTCAATGCTCTCCCGATCTACCGACCGTGAACCAACTGCTGCCACACTCCACGCCCACCGATATATATTTTCAGTTCTTGCCCGACGCCTCGTCCCGGTAAACAGCCGTTACATTCGATGCACCGTTTGGGAAAACGAAATAGTTTCCCGGCGGAAGATTGCTATTAATATTAATATAGACTGACGTCAATGGAATAAGGTACGGGTGTGTTAAGTTATACTGTAAACCAAGTCCATGTCTGGAGTTTATCATTTTAGTTCTTAAATAAGTATAATGCGAATTATAATCAAAGATAAAAATGTAATACAAGAAAAACATTTTTATCTTTGATTCTTTGATTTTAATTTGCGTTATAACTTATTTAAGGACTAAAATGATAAAAATGTCCAGACATGGGTGTGTCCAGGCATTGGTACATTTACCTTAAAGATTGATTGATTGGCTATAGACTGACGCCTATGTACATATTCATCTCTGCAGAGATACGTTTGCAATTAATAAGCTAGGTAACGCCGAATGTCTGTGACTTATTTGTCGACGAGGTGCACGGACGGATTTGCGTTACTCGAGTGACGATCGTCTCTACCAAATTTCGAGGCTCAATGTCGCTGCCATAAGAAATTGATGGGCGACGAAGCTACCCGTCGGGAATATTTTTAAGTGCGTTTTGTAGTTGACGATATCGCGACAGCATTTACGAATAAATATGAAGGAACGGCATTCGATTTGTTATCGCACGCCGCGTGCGCGGGCGCGCGAAAAGAGAGATCGGCGTTATCGAGCGCCGAGACGACGTCCGACTTGAGAAACATCGCATGCTAAGATATTCACCGTCGAGTGGAGACCCGCGGATTCAATCTACCGAATGATTAAACATCTCACTTGGATATCAGCCTGGAGCGAGGCGAGACGCGCGAGGCGAGGGTGAAGCCGACTGAGGCCCGAGAGGCCGGGGATATTCCTCTCGAAACTTTTTTTCTTCCTCTCCTTCCGTCTTTTTATTTTTTTTATCTTAGAAACCGACCGGCGTCTCCGTACAAATTGCCTTTCGTCCCGCTTATCTCACCGCGGCCCCTCGCGCGCACATATTTAATTAGAATTAATGCTCGAGCCGCGTGAAAATTAGCATCGAGGTCTGTACGAGCTCGACATCCCGCTTGTCGTTCCCCACCTCCCTCCCCTTGCTATTCCCTTCGCCTCATTCCCTTGTCCGTTTCTTACGTCACTACCGGAAATAACCTGGCCGTGCAAGGTGCGAAAACCCGAATCGTTCGTGCGAGAGCCTACACAAACAAGCTTCGACGGAGAGAGAGAGAGAGAAGGGATAGAGCTTCGTTAAAACTTGGAATTCTTATCCGGCAAAGATCATCGTACCGAAACATCTTTAACGACGACCTACTTCTCGCTTCTTGTTTACACACGCGATCCACGTGTAAACTGGTGGAACTGTCGTCGTAAGAAAACATTTCGTGGTTGTAACGTTCGAGAAGGTCGACAGGTTGTTAATTGAGTGCGCGCGAACGTTTTTTCGCTAATGAGAACGCGTGCGTGGCACATATCATGGGAAATAACGCGCGCGATTCTGAGCTTCCATCCGAAGTATTCGCGATATTTAGAATTACCACCGTTGCTCCTCCCGCTTGATTCATCGCGCGGTGATACATGTTGGCAGAAAAGCAGTGTAACTTCAGGCGGAGAGGAATGAGTTATCGCATTGGACCCCGGGGAAGAAGGATATTTCTAAGCGAAAAACTGAAAATGCCGAATATAATATATATCTGCCGTTCTAAAATCGTAGGACACGGAGAGAGGAGAGAAGGCGAAATCCCGAGTCTCTCCCGCGGGAACGTAGATTCGCGATATAAGGGATCGACAGCTCGACAGTTCTGCCGTCCGTATCGATGGAAGTTGATATATAAACTGCGTCTCGTGTCCAAAAAAAAACACACACGGATATATCCAGCGTGTTAACATACTTTTATGGATATTTCGCGCAGGTTGAAACAGAAATGTGCAAAAAATTTTTTACTGTTCGAGACATGTACAATATAATACTAAAATATTTTAACGACTCTTCTGTTTTGACCAATTAAAAGATAATCTTAATTAATGCCGTTACAAATTACAATTATAATTAATATTATCTCTCTTTGGTCACTTTATTATATAACAACAGACAATTTGGATTCTCTATAAAGTGATGATCGCAAACGCGATCTATAAAACACAATTGGGCGAAGAGATATTTTCATGGCTCCGTTTGTCGGGCGAAGGAAAATCGCACGATCGGTACGACATGTCTATCTAATTATCGCGGGACACTGTCTCGGTATTCCGCGAGCAGGACGCGGAATGACAGTCATTCTATATCGGGGCACCGATATCGGGGTCCGAGGGCTGCCTTCGGCTCAGTTTGCTCGCGCTCGGCCGAGCCAATCACGGCAAAGCCGTTCCCGTACCGGAAACCGGAAGCGAAGGAATCTCACGCGTGCACGTGTGTACGTGGCCGCGTACGCCCGCGCACTTTGCACATGTATGCGTGGTACATATGCGTGCGCGCTCGTATACACGTGGAAACGGGGAGGGTGGTGCCGCGGGTAGGGGGAGGATATTGAGAGCGACTCGGCGGCGTACTGGACATAATTTCCGCCCGACGAGATCGGAATTGCTAATGACGTCACTACCGCCTCCGCATCATTCACGTTGCCGTATGTGGTCCGATGTGCCCGGTTACAAGTTACTTGCGAGCTGCATCGCTCCGCTGCGTATCGGGAAGCTGCGGGTTCTTGTCGCATTAACCCTCGACGGCCGCTCTAGAGGGTTCTCCACCGGAGCGCCCGTCTCTCTAACACGGGCTCTCTAGAATTTATGTTCCGAACCGATGTCCACTCCGAGCTTAACATTGACACGCTCTATTCTTCGATGCGTGGCCTTTAAAGCGATCACGTAGGGTTTAAACGGCACTTTTAATCACTAAACAAAAAGTTGATGCATGCATACGTAAAGATTTTGTTGTAAAAATCTATTTATTTTGTGATATATACGCGTAATATCTATTTTAAAATAAGAAGGGATATACCTTCGTTTGGTGCAATATGACTGACAATTATCGGCGGCATACATAAATTCTATGTAGATTTTCAGCTGCAGCGTGACCTTTGACCGCTCATCGATGAGTAACGATATAATGGCGAAATGTAATTACTTGGCGCGTCATGACGCATTTCGTTGTCACTGTCACGAGATCGTTAAGGAAATATATTGACGACGCGGTCCCGGTGGATGAAATAGACTGCATTAACGAAGGCTAAAAGCAAAAGATCTGTGACGGAGCTCGCGCTGACGACGTAACATGCTTTTTTTTCAACGACTGACTCCTGGCTACTGTTCCCTATTAAATGGCGCATGAAGCTCGATATATCTCTCGCGGTCATTGTCAGAAGATAATAAAAAAAAAGGGGGAGAAAATAGAGGGAGGGAGTGTGGGAGCCACATGACGGGCTCGTCATTCCATAAAAACTGTCCGCCGTGAAAACCAGCTCGTCTACCAGCCGATATACATCCACGCCGGCGTTTCTTCGCGAATTTCAATCGCCACTGTCGAGCTCGCTGGCAGTCTTTCTCATTAGCGTCACACACGCCGATGAGGTTTTTCATTAGTCCCTCGCAATGCATTCCTGTTAGACAGCCTCGTGGCGACACCGCGACGCACGAGGGACATCGAAGGGTGGCGAATGTGGCGATGAAATAGGCGGGGGGAGGGGGGGCCGGGCGGAAGGGGTCGAGAGACATTTTTAATTACCAGCCGGAGGTACCGACTCTGCCTCTCCCCTCAACTACTCGCCATCAGCTGCCAAATATTTCCGGCGTGTCATTGGACGGCTCTCGCGATCACCATCCACCTACCCCCATGCTACCCTTTCGCGTCCGTCGTCGTCGTATCTACCGAATTACTTTCGATTGTCACGGCCGCGCGATTGCGATATGATTGCCGCATCTGCATGATTTCTCCTAAATGCTACGAA